TGATGCAAATAGACAAAGCAGCAAATATCTTCACAGTGAAGTGAAATGAACTTTATGCTTAGAATTTTATTCCGGGCCAAATTATCATTTATGAGTGTGAGTACAATAAAAATACTTTTTGACATTTTTGGTTCAAAAAGGTTACTATTCATAGATCCTCTCTAAAAAGTCTTCCTGAGAAAAAGGAAAAATAAACGCAGAAGAGAAAAATGGAATGCAAAAAGTAATATTGAACAAATAATCAGTAAAACTTTTTTTTCATCTAAACATGTATCAGTTGTAAGTGGGAAAAAATCTTTGGTAATAATCTGGAACAAAAATTAAAATTGGGACGAGAGATATAGAGAAGTAAAGTCTTTTGTGTGTTTATGGGAAGGATATAGATGATAATTAGCTAGACAGGAAAAAATAAGCATATATTTTCATATAAATATATGTTTTAGATATTAAAAATATTAAGACAAAGATAATAATAGTGGCTAACATTGTGGAGTGCTCACTGTATATACTAGGCACTGTTTTGTTGTCTTTTTTTTTTCAAAAATTTATTTATTTTGAGAGAGAGAGTGTGAGAGTACCCAGGTACATGTGAGTGGAGGAGGGACAGAGAGAGAAATAGGCACTGTTTTGAGTGCTCTGCATGTAGTTAAGTTACTGAAAGTGACAACCAGATAAGGAGAAGATGGTACCCCCCCCATTTTATGCAGATGAGGAAACTGAGGCACAGGAAGGTTAAGTAACTTGCCCCAGATCACAGAGCCAAGTTGTGGCGGAGCCATATTTGAACTGGGGCAGTCGACTCCTGGAACCTTCCATCTTTAACAGTGCATTACCTCACAGTTGAATGGACGGCTCTGAAATCAAAGGAGAAAATAAAATGAAATGAAGAAAACTCAGTCTATCCAAGAGAAAATGGTAAAAAGCAAACAGAAAGCACGCCTAATAGAAAATATAAAAGAAGTTGAGAAAATTGAAACATTAATAATCATAATAAACGTGTTAAACTTTTTAAAAGACAGAATTGTGGAAAGACTAGTCTACCTAATTGAAGATTATGTAAATGAAGATTAGGTTCTCTCTCAAATCATCTAGAAAGAGTGCTGTATGAGACAGTGGGGTATGCATCTGGGGGGGACAAAAGCCCATTTCTACTCTGCAGACTGTGTTTATTGTCCACTTTACATGAAAGGAATCTATACAAATTGAGAAGATGCCGTTTTATTTTATTGTCATACCGACTGAACTAATTAACAGTGCGACATGGAATGGGATGGATGGTGTGTAGGACATTGGACTAATGGTGTTAGGAAAAAAAAATAGTATTTCTACTGCAAATTTTTGCTTTTCGATTCTGCAGACTGTGTGAAGCTGGGTTTGAACCTAAATTTTTACCTGTCACTTTCCCTTATTTTCATTTCTTTTATTGAAAAAAGAGAGGGAAGGATTTCAAATGTTCTGATAACCTTAAAAGCTGCTAAAGTCTTTCACAGAACTAATATTGGTTGTCAGGAATCAGAGGAGTTCAACTTTTTAATCCACAAGTTTAGGATGCTAGTTTGCTGGGGAACTGGGGTCATGGCATTTTATTAATCTGAAAGAAAGGAAGAACACCTTAGCCGAGCTCTATGGCAGAGAGATTGCTTCCGGTTTCTACAGTGTGCCTAAAACTTCAAACATGCCATTTCCTACCTGTATTATAGCCCAGATGTTGACTCTTATTCTAGTTTTATAATGAATTTGGAATGATTCTGATTTTGTTTCCTTTTTTCATGTGGTATTACCTCTGTCTTCATATAATACAGGCAGGAAATGGCATGTTTGAAGTTTTAGGCACACTGTAGAAACTGGAAGCAATCTCTCTGCCACAGAGCTCGGCTAAGGTATTCTTCCTTTCTTTCAGGTTAATAAAATGCCATGACCCCAGTTCCCCAGCAAACCAGCATCCTAAACGTTTGCATTTGGTTTCTGTTTCTCTCCCTATTGGGCAAGTGAGTAGGCTTTAAAATGTATAGAGGGGAGTAATGGGAGTTGATGGTTGATGAAAGAAGATCATGAAAACACTAAAGGATTAGAAGGAGCCAGCCTTTCAAGGAGTGGATTTTTAACAAGCATTCCAGGCAATGGGAACAGCATATGCAAAGACTTTGAACAAGCAAGAAGCAACCACATTATGGGACCCTAAAGAAGTCCACTGTGATCGGAGTATAGGGCTAAAGGAGGAGAGCAGTAAAAGATAAAAATGACAGAAGGCTTTTTAGAAAACTACTGAGGCAGCTGAGCATGCAGAATGGATTGGGGAGGAAATGGAAAACAATTCAGGAGTCTGTAGTAGTAAACTTGATGGTGACTTGAATTAAGATTATGGCCATAAAGATAAGAATAGTTGAATTTTAAATATATTTTGGAGGTGGACCCAATAGAATTTGATGATGAATTAGAAGGACTGATAGAGAAGAGAAGGGATCAAATTATAATTCGTAGGATTTTGGCTTTAGTAACTGAGGGTATTGAGGTGAGAAAGAGTGAAAGAGAAATGTAAAATGCCCTTAAGATTTATGTAGGCATTGGATATATGCATCTGAAGCTCAGAATTGAGAGCTGGGCTGTGGATAAAAAATTCATGAACTGAAAAATAAAGTGGATGGAGGGGCATCTGGGTGACTCATTTGGTTAAGCATCTGACTCTTGATTTCAGCTCAGGTCATAATTTCATGGTTCAGGAGTTCGAGCCATGAGTCAGGCTCTGTGCTGGCAGTGTGGAGCCTGCTGGGGATTCTCTCTCTGTCTCTGTCTCTCTCTCTCTCTCTCTCACACACACACACACACACACACACACACACACACACTAAACAAGCAACATAGATGGAATAAATGAGGTGGTATGGGGTATTTATGTAGAAGAGGGCCTGATACAAGTCCAGGGGCGCTCCAACATTTTGGGGTCCAGTAATGGAGGAGCAGTAGCCAGAAAATGAAACTGAGAAGAAATATCCAGAGAGACAGAAGGAAACCAGAGAGAGCATGTCCTGGAAGCTTAGAAAAGAGAGAGATGTCAAGAAGAAGGGATTAGATGCCACTTAGATATCTATTATCACAACAGGAAGTGTGAGAAGGCCATTTAAAGACTCCCAAGAGGCACAAAAGTAGACTTGGACAAATGGAAAGATATCCTTTGTTCTTAGATGGGACAGTTCAATATCATAGATAAATTTAATGAATTTAATGTGGGAACCCAATAAAAATGCCAGCAAGAGTTTCTTTGTTTTGTGATTATTTCCCCCTGGAACTATGCCAATTGATTCGAAAGTTCATATAGAAAAATAAACATGCGGGAATAGCTAGAAAGACCTTTTAAAAAGAAAAGGATGAGGAGAGACCATCAGATATGAAAATATACTTTTTAAGATGTCTGTGATTAAAACCACATGGGACTGGGGCACCTGGATCTCAGTCGGTTGAATTTCCAGCTCTCAGTTTTGGTTCAGGTCATGATTTTGTGGTTCATGAGTTTGGGCCCAGCCTCTGTGCTGGTGGGTGCAGAGCCTGCTTGGGATTCTGTCTCCCTCCCTCTCTCTGCCCCTTCCCCGCTCGCACTGTCTGTCTATCTGTCTGTCTCTCTCTCTCAAAAAAAAAACAAAAAAACAGAAAACCACCACATGGAACTGATGCACAGATGACCAAGGCAATGAAACAGACCAGAATGTCTATTATAATAATAATAACCAGAAATAAACAAGTAAAAGAACAATTTAGTATATGATTAAAATGGCAGATTAAATCACAGGGAGAAAGATGGACTTTTTAGTAAATAGTGTTGGAACAACTGGGTGGCCACTTGACAGAAGATTAAAGTTGGATCTGTTTCTCACACCGGATACCAAAATAAACCCCAAATGGATGAAAGATTTAAATGTAAGCAATGACAACATCCAACTACTAGAAGAACACATAAGTGAATTATTCTGTCACCTGAGTAGGAAGAGAGCCTTTCTCTCTATGGATTAAAATTCAGATATAATATATGAAAGAAAATTACTAAATTTGGCTACATGTAGTAAACAACTTGGCACTGGGCGAAAGCAGTGCTGTGGTAGGGCAGCCTTCTGAGATGACCCCAGGGATCCCCACCTGTCTGTACTCAGGCCCCTGGTAATCCCCTCCCCTTGGTAAAAGCAATAGAATGTCACTTTTTTCAAAGGTTATTTTGAGAGAGACAGAGAGAGCAAGGGAGGGGCAGAGACAGAGAGAGAATCCTAAGCAGGCTTCACACTGACAGTGTGGGGCTCAATCTCACAAAGCTTGAAATCATGACCTGAGCCAAAATCAAGAGCTGGATGCTTAACCGACTGAGCCACCCAAGCACCCCTAGAATGTCACTTTTGAAAGGAAGCCGTGACTCTTGCTCATTTTCACTCCTGAGAAGCTGGTGTGTAGTGAGCCACCTTACAAGGGGCCAACATGGCTGCTTGTACCTAGAAACACCATTAGTTTTTGTGTATTTAATTTATGCTTGGTTTTCTTTTAGTGATAATAGTTTTTATTTGCAGATCTGCTTGATTTCCTTGAAGCAAGTCATAATGTTCATTTTGTTCCTTTCCCAGTCATATGCCAGTTTGCTTATAGGTCTCACTAATTCTGTTTATAAAGAGAATTTGCGAAGGTAGCCCATTTATGAATGATGTTTGCTGTAAGTTCTTGGTAAATGAGCCTGTATTAGATTAAGGAAGTATTCTTCTATTCCTAGTTTAGTAAGAGTTGTTATCATGAAGGAGTATTTATCTTATTAAAATCTTCTTCTACATCTCTTATCAGATACTACACTTGATCTTAGCCAAAAGGCCGAGAAGCGATCTACATCTCTTATCAGATTAATGAATAGAATTCATTACTAAGCTGTTTTTCTATAACAATTTATTGAGTATTCTGAATAGTTTTTCTGTATCTGTTGAGACCATAGGGTTTTTCTCCCTTAACATATGCCCTGTTCATTTTTCACGTAGATACAAGATGATCTCTGAATTCACCTGGCCCAACCATGATCTCCCTTCAGACAAAGAGGCTGTCAGGAAGCTGGTTGAACATTGTGGTTTTCAGGATGATGTGGCTTATGGGAAAACCAAAATTTTCATTCGAACACCCCGAACACTGTTTACCTTAGAAGAACTCCGTGCCCAGATGCTCGTAAGGATTGTCCTCTTTCTACAAAAGGTAATTTTATATTTTTTACACAAGGATCAGGTCTTGCTTTTATGTTCTTAACAATTTATTGAATGTTTTCTTTGACTTGAGAAATGTTCATGATGGTATATTCTTTGTATCAATGTATATCTTACAATGTTTTCTGTCGTCTTCACACATGGAAAAATTATTTGGCTGCCTGAGCTCAAAATTATCCTATCCTCAAAACTCAAGACATTTTATCTTCTGGTTTGTGAAGTTGGAGAGATGTCTGAAGCAGCCAACTTTCTGTCCCTTGTTATTTACGGAGTTTTTTCCCTCAGCTTAACTGGGTAAAGGACTTGTTTTTTATCTTGTAATTCAGAAGTTTTGTCAACACGTTTGAAACCCACTCCTCACCCATCATTACCCACCACCAGCACTTGACTGAAGAGTGGGCTCCTGACTTAAAGCTCAGTAGAGTGTAGTGTCTGTCGTAATTCTGTGCAGAACCCCCTTCTCACTTCATCCACTCACTCATCGTTTTCTTTTTATATACCATACCTATTTCTATACCTTCCATATGGACCATTTTAATGTAAAAATATATATGATTATTTTTAAAAATCTTGTGCCTCTGTGAGAATTTCCTGTGGGATAGGTACCAGGAGAAAACGTAGGTACCATACGTAAACCTGATTGGTATAAGTGGTACCCGTTCCCCCCCACCCCCGAAGGACTGCCAGTTTGCACTGACACCAGCTCATTGTGGGAGTGACCATGTGCCCACATCCTGACTCGTGGCATCCAGCCACCTCAATTTTGCAAGACCGAAAGGTCTAATATCTCATTGTCGTTTTGCTTTGTATTTCTCTGGTTACCGTTAAACCCAAGCATCTCATTAAAAGCTTATTTGCTTTGGGGGGGTCTTCCTAATAAACTGCCAGTTCGTATCCTTTGTCTGTTTTTCTGCTGGAGCTGGTATGATTTTCTTGTTGATTAGCAGGAATTCCTTGAATATTTTGGACATTAATCACTTTTTCACGTTAGACATTTTATTTATTTTTTTTTAAACTTTATTTTTTTATTTTTTTAATGTTTTATTTATTTCTAGGAGAGAGAGAGACAGCGTGAGCAGGGGAGGGTCAGAGAGAGAGGGAGTCACAGACTGAAACAGGCTCCAGGCTCCGAGCTGGCAGTCAGCACAGAGCCCGACGCGGGGCTCGAACCCACAAACCGCGAGATCATGACCTAAGCGAAAGTCGGACGCTTAACCGACTAAGCCACCCAGGCGCCCCTCGTTAGACATTTTAAATACATTCTATTCTGTAGGCATTCTCATGAACTTCATCTGTCATATGCTTTGTTGAAGGGAATCCTTCATTTTGACATAGAGAGGGCTCTCCTTGTTTCCGGGTCACAAAGAGACCAGCCTCTCTTTTCTCCACCGAACTGTATACTTTGATCTTCCACATTTAGATCTTGAATCCATTTAGAACCTGTCTATATATTTGGTTTTATGTAGGAATCCAGTTTCATTTTCTTCGATATAGTGAACCGTTTTCTCAGTACCATCTACTAAACTGTGTGTTTAGTGGTGCCACTCTTAACATCTGCTGTCATATGTATATATTCCATCGCTGAATGTTCTATTTATATAGTTGCCCATTTTTACATTGATGCCACATGGTTTTTATTGCAGTATGTCTTAGTGTACAGTAGATAAGTTATCTTCTCTACTCTTCTTTATGAAGGTGGATTAACCTATACATAGACCTTTATTTTGCAATATAAATGTTAATTTGTGTTTATTGGGTTCATTAAATTCAACAGTAATTTTTATTAGGATTGCACTGAATTTATAGATTAATTTGAAAGAACATTTTTATGGTATTAAATCATCTTAAGAGTACAGAATGGGCTTATTTAAATCATTTCTTTGACCTTTAGATTAAGAGAGAGGCCTTAGAAATTCATGGCTAATTCCTAGATACTTTATTGTTTTTGTTACTGCTGTGAATTTTTTACATGCCAGTGTTGGTAGATAGACATATATGGGTTTATGTTGGTTTATCTGTATCTAGAATGAAACCTTTGCAGATTCTGTTAGTTTTTCTGGGGAAATGATTATATCATGTGCAAGTAATGAAGGTTTTCTCTTCCTTCCCAATTGCTAACATGTTTCTAAGTTTAGGTCTCTTTCATGTATTTTGCCTCAGAAAATCTTTTGGAGTAGAATACTAAATTCTATCTCATCCTGAAACAATTTCCTTCTATTAACTCGTTTTGTTTTGTTTTGTTGTATTGCTTTTACTCAGGTCTGTTTTACGCAGTGGGGTATCTGTTTTCTGTCTGCCATGGTAAATTATTTTCCTGCATCTGTTCTTCTGTATACTTAAATCCTTTCTTTTGATCTTCAGTACTGACCAGTGATGTTTTTTGTTATGCTTTTTGCATATCTGATACTTTGTTTTTCTCCTTTATACCTGTTCAAGAGATTGACTCAGGCTCAGGGTTTGGCCCTGAAGGACAGTGACCTTCCCTCTCCATTAGTTTGGGAGAGTCCCAGTTCGTGCCTCTTGTCTCTCATAACTGTTAGTTTTGCTCTCAAAAGTGTCACCATATGGGTAGTACATTGTTTCATTGCGCTACCCTGAACTCACTTTCTGTCCACCTGATGGCTGGTAGAATCCTGTTCTTAAATCTCCAGTGGCAGGTTGTTCACCTCCACAGTTGATGGTGTCCCGCAGACTTTAGTCTACTGCAGCTCTGCTGATCAAAGATGGCACCCCCAACCCCTGAGCCAATTCTTATATAGTACATATGCTCACCTACTATGGCTCTCCCTTTCTCTGTCCTCTCTACAGCACCTCTGCTTTCTTTCTGATGGGAAATTACAGTTTCTACTTAGAAAAGGGAGATTCTAAAAGAAAAAGGATGGCTTTCTTTACTTCAAAAGCCATCACCCATGTCACAGAGGAAAAGCTGTCCAGTCTTTTCTGTGATAATAGATCTTGCATTTCTTAACCATTTAGCAGTGAAGCAGGAAATAAGAATCTTCCTCTGAATTCTCAGGCAGGCTGTTCCAGGGTAGGATATAGGTGATCTACTGATTATGTTCTTTAAATCAACTCCACAGGCCATACAATTATTGGAAATTTCTCTCAGCTTCTGGGAATAGGTATTTAGCTGCCTGACTTTTCATGTGATATGTGTTTTTATTTTTTCCATAACCTAATAGGAATGGAACAGGAAGTTAGGAGAGGCAGCAACAGGAAATGCTATTTTAAACCAGAATCTCTAACAATTGACTTTTATTTCTGTTTTAAATAAAAAATAGCTTTATCTTTTTTCTCTGCTTATATAATTAAAGTGTACTTATTGCAAAAACAAATTCAGAGCATATAGAAAAGTATAAGAGAAATCATGGAAAATAACTTAAAATCCCACCATCCAGAGATAACAAACCATTAGCATTGCGGTGGCCATTCTTGCTCATATTGTTCGGTGCATATATACAAGCATATATACTATAATATAAATGAGATCATGGTTCACGTGGTGATTTTTTTTTATGAGCACCTTTCTCTTTTTTTAATAGTATTTTCTTACTCTCTTTCCCCACATTTATCATCTCTGCCTGCCCACTCTCACCACCTATGTCAATGGTCACCGAGACCACTTCCAGTTTTGGTGATTCACTAAAAGGACTCACAGGGCCAGCATATAGTTGTGCTCATGAGGAAAATTTATTACAGCAAAAGGATGCAAAGCAAAATTGGCAAAGGGAAAAGGCAAATGGGGCAAAATCCAGAGAAAACTAGGAGCAAGCTTCCAAGAGTTCGTTCCCTATGGAGCTGCATGGACATTCCTCCAGAGGTAAATTGTGACAGCATGTGTGAAGTGTTGTCTCCTAGGCAAGCTCATTAGAGACTCAGTGCTCAGAGTTTTTACTGGGGATTATGTAGGCACCCTCTGCCTAACATGTACCCAAACCCCAGACCCCCAGAAGAAAATGAGATATTCAGCGTAAATCTCATTCTTTGCACACAGTGTAACCACACTGAGCCACTCTTAACCATTTAGGGAAAGTGTTATATAAGCAAGTGAAGTCGTTTTCCAGCCAACTTCCCAGACACTAGCCAGGGGCCGACCTTGGAAGCAGGCCTTTCTAAGGATGTAGTCTCAGGCCTGCTGTGTTAACTCTTTTCTGGATACTCCCAAATCTTCCATAACTTTAATAGACTTCCTTATACATATAGGAATACTTCATCCTATGCGCCATCACTTCAGTGCTAATGCATTCTGTGCACTGGGATCCCATGAGCAGATTGTTGGTTGAAGGGTATATATATTTATAATCATCATCCATATTAAGAGTTCACATTGTGTAGCCCACAGTGTAAGTGAACTTCTTTCCCCAAATTTTTTTAAGTTTATTTATTTTTGAGAGAGCGTGCACAAGCAGGGGAGGGGCAGAGAGAAAAAGGGAGACAAAGAATCTGAAGCAGGCTCCAGGCTCCCAGCTCCGAGCTGAGCTGTCAGCAACAGAGCAGAACCTGGGGCTTGAACTCACAAACCCCAAGATCATGACCTGAGCCGAAGTGAGACACTCAACCAGCTGAGCCACCCAAGTGCCCTTCCCTAATTTTTTTTTTAACCACAGTGACTTGTACCAGGCTTCTGAATTTTTTCCATTCTTACCAGTAAGAAATGATGTCTCATTTCTACTTTAATTTTGTGTTCTCGTGACTCTTCATGAGGGTGTGTTTGTTGATCTTTTGGAATTGCTCCTCTTCTGTTACTTGCTTATTCGTATCCTTGGCCCATTTTTCTATTGGGTTGTTTGTCATTTTCTCATGAATCTGTGGGAGTGATTATCTTTATGTATTGCAGTTATTTTTCTAGGCTATCATTTGTCGTTGACTCCACTTATGGTATACTCTCTGACATGAAAGTTTTTACTTAATAGGTCTTATCTTTTTTTTTTCTTTTTATCTTTGAGTTTCTTCAAAAAAAAAGTTATGGTTCTGGGATTTAGTTTTTATGCA